TGAGTTAAAAACGGAGTATGAGAAAACGATTAACGAACTCATATCAATGGAACACATGGTGAAAGTGGATCAAGGACAACAAGCCAAATATTATATGCCACATCAAGTAGTATTAAGAGAAACTAGTCTAACCACAAAAGTGAGGGTGGTATTTGATGCTTCGGCGAAAACATCGAATGGGAAGGCCTTGAATGGCATCCTGCACGTTGGGCATCATTACAAAGTGGAGATCGTGGAAATTTGTCATCTGTGCAGATGTCGAGAAAATGTTTAGACAGATAAAAGTAGCAGAGCAAGATCAGGATTACCAATATATCCTTTGGAGGAGTTGTAAGTCCGAGCCAATTCGGCAGTATAAACTCACCACAGTTACATACGGAACCGCTTCAGCACCATTTCTAGCAGTAAGAACTCTAATGGAAATTGGAAATAGATGTAAAGATCAGAAAATTGCGAAAAGAATCAAGGAGGATTTCTACATGGATGAATTACTAACTGGAGCTGATACAGAAAAAGAATGCATGGCAGTCCAAAAAAAATATCGGAGCAGCTGGAGACTTACGGATTCCATTTGAGAAAATGGATTGCAAACGCACCAGAAGTACTAAGAGCTGTAAGGCGGTCGGAGGAAAACGAAGTGCTGCATATTCGAGAAGATGAGTGTTCAAAAACACTAGGGCTGCAATGGAATCCGACAACAGATTGCTTTGCATTTAATATGCAGATCAACAATGAAGACAAGATAACCAAACGGTTAGCCTTGTCGTACCTGGCAAAGATTTTTGATCCATTGGGTTGGTTGACTCCAGTAACAGTAACAGCGAAAATCTTTACATTTAATATGCAGATCAACAATGAAGACAAGATAACCAAACGATTAGCCCTGTCGTACCTGGCAAAGATTTTTGATCCATTGGGTTGTTTGACTCCAGTAACAGTAACAGCGAAAATCTGCATTCAGAATCTGTGGAAACAACAGTTGGAGTGGGATCTTCCTTTAGAGGAAAAGTTGACTATAGAGTGAAAGCAGTTTATGCTCAGTCTTCCTGTCCTTAAGAACGCAAAAATTCCAAGATGGTTTGAAATTTCAGAAAAGAGTATAATTCAATTGCATGTATTTGCTGACGCATCCGAAAAGGCATATGCAGCGGTCGTATACCTCAAGGTGGAGTCTAAAGTAACAATAATAGCCGCAAAAAGCAAGGTAAATCCAATAAAAAAATAGGAAGACTCTACCCAAACTGGAACTGTGTGCAGCACATCTCCTGTCGAAACTATTGCAAAAAATTAAAGGAGTTTTGACGACGGCTACATCAATCTATGCATGGAATGACTCCATGATAACATTGGCATGGATTAAAAACCTAAAAAACAAAGATAAATTTATAAGAAATAGAGTGATGGATATTGTGGAACGAGTACCCGATGCAAGATGGGGATACGTGAAGTCGAAGGAAAACCCAGCTGATATGGGTTCGAGAGGTATTCCACCAAACTCCTTAATAAACAATGAATTGTGGTGGAAAGGACCTGAATGGATGGTGGAAGACGAAAAAAGTTGGCCTGATAGTAAACCAGATGAAGCATTTGTTGCGACGATGAAAATATCCCAGGAAGAAAATTACATCTATGAAAAATAATGAAATTCTCATCATATATGAAGCAGAAACGAGTAATGGCTTATATTCTCCACTTTATAAAGGCCTGAAGGGAATACGAACTAAAGTAGAACACCTGACATCAGAAGAGATAGAAGAAGCGGAGATTAAAATTATAAAATTACACCAAGGACACGAGTGGTCGGCGGAAATAAAACAATTGAAAAATTCTGGAATAGTGAATCATCGGAGCAAAATAGCGGCATTGCACCCACAACTAGACCAAAATGGTATAATGAGAGTTGGTGGGAGGTTGAATTTTCATCATTGCCCTATAATCACAAGCATCCAATCCTCATCAAGAAGTCAAGGTTAGCAGGGAATATTATTCGAAGCGCTCACATCGAAACGCTGCATGGAGGAAATCAGCTCATGGAGAATATGTTAAGGCGGAAATATCGGGTTATCGGAGTCAAAAATAGAATAAAACTCTGCATTAGGAGTTGCCCAAGATGTACGCGTTTTCGAGGCAGAGTACGAAACCAAATGATGGGAAATCTACCAATTTGCAGTGTCAACCTGAGTCAACCCTTTCAGCATTGTGGCGTGGATTATGCAGGTCCGATCCAGATAAAGTGTTTGTCTGTATGGCAACTAAAGCGGTCCACTTAGAGGCCGTCAGTGAACTTACAACAGATGCATTTTTGCCAGCTCTAAGACGAATGTTTGCAAGAAGAGGCAAATCAACCGACATATATTCGGTCAACGGGACGAACTTCGTAGGGGAAGTAAGACAGTTGGATAAAGATTATATAAAGGCCATTAGGAACAACATGAATGCAGCACAAATTTTAGAAAACGAAAAAATAAAATGACACTTCATTCCCCTGCAGCTCCTCACATCGGAGGAATTTGGGAAGCAGCTGTAAAATCGACAAAATATCATCTTAAAAGGATAATGGGTGATACGAAGCTTACATATGAAGAAGTTAGCACAGTTCTGGCTCAGATTGAAGCAGTTTTGAACTCAAGGCCGCTGCATGAACTAGGTAGCAGCACGGAGAATATAAACATTCTGACGGCAGGGCATTTTATAATTGGTCGTCCGTTGTTAGAAGCTCCGGAAAAATTCGACGAAGGAAATATGGGATTCGTCAACAGGTGGAAACTGCTGCAACGTATAAAAAATCATTTTTGGAAAGAGTGGAAGGAGGAGTACTTGACGTCGTTGCAAAACCATACCAAATGGATAAAGAAAAATAGAAATCTCGAAGTGGGAGAGGTGGTAATAATAAAAAACGAGGAGACTCATCCAGCTCGTTGGCCATTGGCGAGAGTGATGGAGGTCCATCCGGGCAAAGACGGAATTGTGCGAGTAGTCACATTAAAAACACAAGATAAAGTTTTAATAAAAAGGAGGAACCGGAGGTCATACCGGATCCACCGCAATATATTTGGATCCTATGGCTCAGATTAATATGGTCTCGTCTTCGAGGAACATGGTGATCTACTTTGAGTTGAAACCGTATTTCAAAACATTGGAGTTGGCTTCCGGGTTGCTTCAGACATCCAAGGAATTATACCCAAAGCTACAGACGTTTCAGGAACTGTGTTGGTCTACAATAAAGAACGTGGAGTATAGCATTACTAAGATTGAAACGAACAATCGGTTGTTTATAAAGGAAGAGAAGCGCCAAAAAAGAGGAACACCGTTGAAACTCGTAGGCTCATTTCAACACTGGGCATTTGGAGTAATGGACGATGATGACAGAATGGCTTTGGAAAATAATATGAAGAACCTCTTGGACAATCAAAAAAATTTACAGGAGCTTGCTAAAAGACAAACATAAGTAGTTGATGCTACTGTCAATCTGCTACAGAGGACAACCGAGGAGGTGAACTCGAACTTTTCGGATCTCAAGAGCAAGATTCTGAATATAAGCGGCACAATGAACGAGCATTACTTCGTTTATAGAGAATCTATAAGATTTTTTATAATAGCCAAACAGATCCATGAGCTAGTTGAGGAATGTGACGAAGTGCAAAGAGAAATAATAGATGCGTTAATTGATGTGAATGGCGGGGAATTCCATCCCGTGCTCATAACCCCCTCACAATTGCAAATGGAAATATCAAAAATACGAGAGAGCCTACCTGAAAAGTATGTGTTACCAGGTAAACGCACCGGAATGGAATTAAACGAGATCTTGCACTTAATGACGGGCCACGGTACGTTTGTGGGATCGCAAGTGGTTCTGGACATAAAGATTCCGCTATTCAACCGACAATCATCCCAATTCTACAAAGTTATTCCGTTACCATTTCAAGAGGGACATACAGTGATGATAGCCCGTGTGAAAGACCCGTATATTGTGTATAATTTCGAAATAGATGCTTTCTATTTCTTAACCCTGGCAATGCTAAATGAATGCAAAAAGACGTTGGGCAATGAAATAACGTGCGAAGGTATCTTTCTTTGGAGAGATGCGTCCACTAATAATTGTGAATTATCGCCACTGAGACCTCATATCAACTTAAACTGCGCTTATTTGATACCGTTGATGCAAAGTGGGACAAGTTGCGTTGGCGGCTGCACATCGAGAACGCAACAATATAACGACAGAGTATCATTCAGTTCTATTGAAGGATGTAAGCCCGACCGAAAAAGAAGCTATTAAATCCCCGGGAAACGTGTTGATTAATCATAATCAAGAAATATCTGCGCTGAAGAAGATTGTTGCAGATTTAAGGAACGTAAATCTGGAATTGAGAGGATTGAAATTTCATCATATTTCGGCACATGTATCATTCACACTGGTTATTGTAGTTATTATAATTTTAATTATATTACTTATAAGAAGAGTAATAAAAAATAAGCGAATAGCAGCAATCCAATTTCCTAAGGCCCAAGAGATATAAATAAATTATTTGCCGCCCGGGAGAATGTTCATATGAACAGAATTAGTGTAATTTTCCTATGTTTATGATAAATGTTTATGTCCAGCGATAAGATGTGTTTTAGGAAAAGTGTTTATGTTTATGTAATGATAAGTGCCTGAGTAATATATGGCCAAGCGTTAAAGCATTGTAAAGTATGGGAAAATCCGAAAGCCAATAAAATCTTCGTGTATGCGCTGATAATAAAGAATTTGAAAATATCCACACACAAAGATAGAAATGCAGTCACTAGGTAGCATTAATAAATGCCACCTCCTGCAAACAACCCTTTGTGTGCATTGATGATAGCCATTATTAGAACTGAAGTAGGCTAAGTTAGATTAGTGCAGGTAGCTATTAAGAAAAAAAAATTGTGAAATAAAATCAGAACCAAATCTACATCCGAAGGTAAAGGTTGTTCTTTCCTTCTCAACTAAATTCAATTTATAATTTTTTTTATCGATTCTGACGACGAAAACTCTAACAAATTGAAAACATATATACATGCGTATATGCAACATGTCCTTCATTCACCATAAATATGTATTGTGCACTGTCATAGGCTGTAGTATCCATTACGAACTTCAAATACGACATCTCAAACAATTTCGGTGGGTATTGTACCTAAACTCGTCAAAATACCGAATATAGGGAGGTACTGGTATATGGGGCCTATACGAAGACCTGTACCTGCATAGACAATTTTCCGTCACATACTGTAGTTCTCATTACGAACTCTAAGTACGTAATTTGAAACAATTCCGGTGAATAATGACGCATAAATCATTAAAATTCCGAATATTGGGAGGAACCGTTATATGGGGGCTATACGAAGACGTGGACCTGCATAGAGAATTTTCTCTCATAGGCTGTAGTATCCATTACGAACTTCAAATACCAAATTTTAAACTGTTCCGGTTAATAATGTCGCTAAAATCATCAAAATACCGAATATCGGGAGGTGCCGTTATATGGGGGCTTTACGAAGACGTGGACCTGCACAGATAATTTTCTGTCATAGGCTGTAGTATCTATTTCGAACTTTAAATACCTAATTTGAAACAATTGTAGTGAATAATTTCGCTAAAATCATCAAAATACCGAATATCGGGAGGTACAGTTATATGGGGGCTATATGAAAACGTGGACCTACATGGCCCATTTACGAACTTAACTTGCCTACTGAAAAAATAAACATGTGTGCAAAATTTTAGCCTTCTATCTCAATTCGTTCGAAAGATACCGAGATTACAACAGACAGACAGACGGATCGACAGACGAACATCGCTAAATCGACTTAGAATTTGACGCTGATCAAGAATATATATACTTTGTTGGGTCTAAAATGAGTATTTCGAGGAGTTACAAATGGAATGACAAAGTTAATATACCCTCCATAGTATGGTGGAGGCTAAAAAAAGTTGACGTGGTCGGTTCCCCAGCAACAAAATAAATACTGGATGGAAGGTCAACAGTATCTCGTATAATAACTTTCAAGCCGATATCGTTATTATTTGGCAAATATAAGGATTTTAGATGAATCGAAATAGTTAAATTCAGTTTAGAAATTATTATCGATTCTGACGACGAAAACTCCAACAAATTGAAAACATATATACATTCGTATATGCAACATGTCCTTCATTCACCATAAATATGTATTGTGTACTCTAAAAAATAAGTTGGAGCGAATACAACAATAAACCACAAAACAAGGAGAACAGCAATAAGCATGAACACCGAAAAATTTGTATACACGATTACTTTTTAATTCATATATGTAAAAATCATATGTTGTTCCTTGGTAATCGAATCAATTAAGAATGGTAATGGAATTAGTTGAGAACGGCTGGACCGATTTGCATAATTTTTTGTACAAACGTTCGTCATACCCCGAGTTAGGTTTTTAAAGAAAACAAGTAAAAAACATTAAGTTCGGCCGGGCCATACTTTTTATACCCTCAACCTTAGGGTAAAGGAAACATTAGAGCTCATTATGGAAACATTAGAGCTCATGGAGCTCATGGGAAAATGTGCCAAAAATCATCAAAATATCGAATATCGGGAAATACGGCTATATGAGGCTATACAAAAACGTGGACCTATACATGCATTATTTTTTGTACAAACGTTCGTCATATTCAGAGTTAGGTTTTTAAAGAAAATAATATTGACCACGCCTTTTTTACGCCCACTATTTCGATTTATCTAAAATCTTTATATTTGCCAAAGTAATAATGCATTAAAGACTGAACATACGGGCCGGCAACGCGTAGACCAGTCAGTCTGTCTGTCCGTCTGTCTGTTGAAATCACGATAAAGCCCACATTATTTGACGCAGATCGCCAACATTTAGCAGAGCAATTTTTATTGTGTCTAGGATGGTTGGTATTGGAAATATCGGTCCACGTTTTGGTATAGTCCCCATATAACGGTACCTCCCGATACTTGGTATTTTGATGATTTTTGCCACATTTTTCACGGATTTGTCTGAAATTTGATATTTGTAGCTTATAATGGGTCTTACTTCGTGTGGCGAGTCATTGTATGTATAGGTCCACGCTTTGGTACAGCCCCCATATAAAGATAACTCCCGATATTCGGTATTTTGATTATTTTCGCCACATTTTTTCACGGATTTGTCTAAAAATTGGTATTTGTTGGCCATAAGGGGTTCAAGCTCCGGTGGCGAAACATCGCATACATAGGTTCACCATTTGGTATAGCCCCCATATAACGGTTCCTCCCGATATTCGGTATTTTGATTGTTTTTGCCACATTTTTTCACTGACTTGTCTGAAAATTGGTATTTGTAGGTCATAATGGGTCCTAGTTTGTGTGTCGAAACATTGTATGTATAGGTCCACGTTTTGGTATAGTCCCCATATAACGGTACTTCCCGATATTCGGTATTTTGATGATTTTTGCCACATTTGTTAACGGATTTACAAGCGGAATAACAAAGTTAATGTACCCTTCATAGTATGGTGGAGGGTATCGAAGGGAATGGCTAGTCGCAAAACTATAGTTTCTGTGGGAAACTCTGTATCACAACCAGTTGCATATATAAGCTCTGATACGACTGAGACCTGCATCACAACCTGTATCATACAATATCTCTGATACAACTGAGACCTATGCCTGAGTTTTGACACACCCAGTCCCCCTAATTTTCGGTGGATGCAATGAAAATTGTAAAGAATTCTGACGCTATGAGTAATGGCAGTGTGGTTTCTGAAAACACGATCCACTCGAGACATTGAGACATGAAATCATCACTTCCTACATCTGGCGCTCTTCCTGATACTGCTTCTGTCTATACTGGCAAATTCCAACCTGTCCAAAGGCCGTTATCTATGGTTTCTGTCATGAAAATTCCCAGGTTTGCACCGGAAAACACGACTGACTGAAATTATAGTGTCTGAAAACGTTTTTTTCTAATTAATTTTAGAAGATTTCTGGGCTGCACGGAAGTTATTAAAGAATTTCTGGAGAAATCTTATAATTTGCCTTTAAGATAGTATTGCACGGAAGTTATCAAAGAACTTCTGGAGAGATCTTTTAATTTGCCTTTAAGAAAGTATTCATTGCCAAAAACTAAATATAGTAGTGTTCCGACATTCCGAACCAAAGAATTCTAAAAATTTTCCATTTACTACTTTCTATTTCTAACACTGTAAATACATTTGTACTCGATCTAACGAACAAAAACCCAAGATAGTGTAGTTTATTGAATGAAAGAGTGAGCGAGGCGATGTTGATGTCTACTCAACGAAGGAGTGAGGAGGAAACAATGAGTGTTAATTGAGTGAGGACATTTGTACAACAGTTAAAAGCCTAAGAAAATGGATATTCCCCAACGATGCTACGTTTCGTTTGATGGTAAGACTGATAACAATGGTGAAGGCAATTTTACTTCAGAAGAACAACTGAGAATTAAGCATGACGTAATGTGAAAAATTTTGAAATGTGTATTAAATGAGTGAAACAAAATAATATAGACGCCACCAAATCTCCAATATTAAGAGAACTTCGAGAAGAGACGATACAAAAATACACTACAAATTCCTAAAATCCTTTTTTTTGTGTTGAAGTCATTAAAAATGTTATTGTGTCAGTAGATCTTAAGATACAAGATTTAGTTAGGTTTAAAATTAATTTTTAGTTGCAAAATGTTCAGGTTTTATCACTTTATTGTTGTTTTTTATAAAAACAACGTTTGTTTATTAGTGGAGAACGATGGTAATGTTTACCAGGGGATAAGGCAGGGAATACCTAGGTTTCGGAAAGAGCCACCAATCCTCATCAGTTCCCTTGTTTTTGTCTGGCATATTCTCCCCAGAAGTTATTTTAAAAATAACTTCTATGACAAAAAAATATTTTTTACCCAAGTGACGAGATCGTAAGCTCAATAGAAGAGGAACCAAAGAATTAAATAAAACTAAAATTCTTTTGGAAAGTCTTTTAAATTTTATAACCGCAATTATAAACATTTACATCTTTATCCACTTGTTATGCTTTCGTTGAACCTGAACGAAGTAGCATAACCCTGTAAGTTGGTTTTGTCTGTTACAACAAAAACCCCTTCGTCGACCGTGCCTTGTCTATTAATAGAACAGTGTGGCTTGTTCGTTCGGGATACCGTAGTATTTTGATGTTGCAAAATGGTTAGGCTTTATCCCTTTATTGTTGTTTTTATAAAAAAACAACGTTTATTTATTAGTGGAGAACGATGGTAATGTTTACCAGGGGGTAAGGCAGGGAATACCTAGGTTTCGGAGAGAGCCACCAATCCTCATCAGTTCCCTTGTTTTTTGCCTGGGATATTCTCCCCAGAAGTTAATTTTTAAAAATAACTTCTATGACAAAAAACATTTTTTACCCAAATGACGAGATCGTAAGCTCAATAGAAGAGTATCCAAAGAATTAAATAAAACTAAAATTCTTTTGAAAAGTCTTCTAAATCTTACAACCGCACTTATAAACATTTACATCTTTCTCCACTTGTTATGCTTTTGTTCAACCTGAACGAAGTAGCATAACCATGTAAGTTGGTTTTAAAGCCTGACCATTTTGAAACAACAAAATACTACGGTAACCCGAACAAACAAGCCGACACTGTTTATTAATAGACAAGGCACGGTCGACGAAATGGTTTTTGTTGTAACAGACAAATCCAAATTACATGGTTATGCTACTTCGTTCAGGTTGAACGAAAGCATAACAAGTGGAGAAAGATGTAAATGTTTATAAGTGCGGTTGTAAGATTTAGAAGACTCTCCAAAAGAATTATAGTTTTATTTAATTCTTTGGTTCCTCTTCTATTGAGCTTACGATCTCGTCACTTGGGCAAAAAATGTTTTTTGTCATAGAACTTATTTTTAAAACAACTTCTGGGGAGAATATCCCAGACAAAAAACAGGGGAACTGATGAGGATTGGTGGCTCTTTCCGAAACCTAGGTATTCCCTGCCTTACCCCCTGGTAAACATTACCATCGTTCTCCACTAATAAACAAACGTTGTTTTTATAAAAACAACAATAAAGGGATAAA